ATTCCCTACTATTACTGATGAATGATATTGTCCAGCGAGAAAATAATGAATAATAAATTATAAAAAACATCAAAATTTATATATTCTGTATTTTGTATTGTACTCATGTAATTTTAAGATAGCAACCCATCTATAAACCTTCAATACTAAGTTCTAATATACCCGTATAATATAGACTTGAAGTCTATTATTAAAAGTGATACGATCATATTTGATTAACTCGTATCACTTAAAAAATGAAAGAAAGGAGTTAAAGTTTGTGAACTAACAAGCAAGGGTATTAAGTGCTTCTAACTGGTTTCTTTTTTGTTCACTTTACTTGAATCAAGTGTGACAACATCAAACTATTTTCCTAAGAAAATGGAAGACAAATTAATAAAGTTATGTTAAACTAATAAAACATAAAACTTATTAAGAATAAAGTTTTCTCACTAACTTGATGAACAAGCATGCAACTTCCAAGCATATCGCTAAGCATGCAAACTTATATGGCATATAGTCGTATTCTTCTACCAAATACATAAAGACAAATAAAAATTAATATTTATTTTCGGCTTATTCTTAAAAATAAAGAGTTTAAGTGTAAGAAGTACACAATAGAGCTTCTTCTCGTGCAACATAGAATCAAGTGTGACAACATCAAACTATTTTCCTAAGAAAATGGAAGACAAATTAATAAAGTTATGTTAAACTAATAAAACATAAAACTTATTAAGAATAAAGTTTTCTCACTAACTTGATGAACAAGCATGCAACTTCCAAGCATATCGCTAAGCATGCAAACTTATATGGCATATGGTCGTATTCTTCTACCAAATACATAGTGACAAATAAAAATTAATATTTATTTTCGGCTTATTCTTAAAAATAAAGAGTTTAAGTGTAAGAAGTACACAATAGAGCTTCTTCTCGTGCAACATAGAATCAAGTGTGACAACATCAAACTATTTTCCTAAGAAAATGGAAGATAAATTAATAAAGTTATGTTAAACTAATAAAACATAAAACTTATTAAGAATAAAGTTTTCTCACTAACTTGATGAACAAGCATGCAACTTCCAAGCATATCGCTAAGCATGCAAACTTATATGGCATATGGTCGTATTCTTCTACCAAATACATAGTGACAAATAAAAATTAATATTTATTTTCGGCTTATTCTTAAAAATAAAGAGTTTAAGTGTAAGAAGTACACAATAGAGCTTCTTCTCGTGCAACATATCGCAACACACTTATTAGTAGAGTTAGAATGCAAGAGAATATGCTCGAAAGTATCGAGGTGCGTGCCTTTCAATGCTGAGGATGATTGCTTTCTCACAATATATGATTTTCGAAAAATCTGATATCAAATGCTTGTGCTAGTATCGTGAGCATAATATACGCATATCGCTTACTGATAAACTTCTATCGCTCTTAGCTACGTACATATCCACATCCACCCATGGTACAAATGTCCCTAATGTTCATCGTGTACCATGACTTAAGTCCCAATATAAGAAAATTTGTGTATCAGAAAAGGTTATCATTTTTAGATTAATATATATGGTAAAATATAATAAAAAAAAAATTATAATTGGTAGTACAACAACAACCGTACTCTTAACTAGTATGTACTCATGTTAAAATCTATTATTTTAAAATAGTATATAGTCATACAATATACAATATACACTCATATTAAAATCTTATATAACTAATACCTTACATATTTGAGGTTTCTTGTAACGAATTCAATTTTATTTTACAAGGATCTAAATTAGAAGAAAGAGATTGGAATAAAATAAAATAAATGAGAATACACATAGCAGGGGAGAGATGAACGTACATATATATTAGGAATAGAGTCGATAGTAAGATCAAGCTTTGTTCTTTGGTCAGATTGATCGAGTAGAGCTGAAATTGTAAAAACAAATTTAGTTTAAACAATCTGTCTATCTAACAAAGTTAAACATACTACTACCATCATTCTTTTAAAAATATAAATTTTGTTTGAAGTCACCTCTATTTTTCTCTGTCTTCAATAAGATATCAATAAAAAAGAGACACACAATGCGATAAAAAAAAACAGACCAACAATCTATATGGAATAGGAATGTTCAATAAACGAAATAAAAATTAGGATAACCTTTGTTATATAAAATCTTAGTAAAATAATGCAACATCTTACTACGTCACAAAATTAATATATGGTAAGTACTATGTGCAAGAACAAAATCGAGTAAACTTACATCTAGCAAGTAGTAAAATCTTTGAATATAACTTGCTAAAAAGCTAGCACACCTACATAATTGGAGTTTCTTAATAGACATATTGGGATGTGATTATGTTATGAAAAAATCATTAGCACGAGACTTACCGTTGGTCAATTTTTGAAAACAGATTAATTAACCATCTCATGACAATATTGTTGACCCTTGGTTCCTCACCTTAATTGGAAGGTTCAAGACCATTTTCTTTTTTAATCCGAGTTGTGCCACTTTAGAAGTCAGACGCGAACTCTATTTCATGCGCTTAATGAAGTCTTTGTTGAAGGAGTATGAAGTTGGAAATGAAAGCTAAGTGTGGTTGAAAGAGTATATATGAAGTTGGAGCATTACAATTGCTTGAAGAGTGTGAAGTTTTTTAAACTACTAGGTTTAATTGAATAATTGAATTGTCGTTGTTGTAACAGGTTAGCTACTCCTGAATGAAAGTGTATTGAAGTATGGATAAGAAGATTTTGCTACAAATTTAGTAGGTTGAAATGTTTTTTTTTTGCTAAATAATTAATTGTAGAAACAATCTGAAGGATATTAAAAAAGTCTTATTATTTGAAAGAAAGCAAATATAAGTATAATTTTGCAATTAATTATTTAGGTATGACTCTCATTATCATATTTAATTGGGTTTGAATTCAATACAAGTTGGCTCTTTTTTTAAGGGTTTGCCCATTTCTCAATTCTCATTGTCATTTTTCTTGGTTAAGCAAATAAAATCCACCATCAATGCTCCCACACACATATAAGTAAGTTCCCGCTGAGCACCTACACAATTTAACTTTTTCCGACCTCCTCACAAAATGAAGGACTTAGGATTTAAGAGTCTTTATGCATCTCAATTTTGGTGCATGAGTTATATTGGGAGGATATCACTTGGACTTTTATTCATTTTTTCGCAGCCACTAAATTTTATAAATTTATAAGTACGAATAAATATTAAAATAAGTAATAATTAGTTTATTTTCTTAAAATACATGTACTAAATGCGTGTTTTAATGTGTGAAGTATCACACCAAACAAAAAAAATAAAGAGACAACTCTATAATAGTCCATAAACGATAATTACATTATGTAAGAAATAACTATCACTCTGTAACGTTTATGTAATGGATGTATATTTTTTGTAACAGTTGTAAAATGTCATCACGAACGTCTTACGTAATGGAAGGTTCTTTTACGAAATGAATGTTAACCTCACATTATGTAAAGTGCTAAATCATTACGGGCGTCTTATTTTAATGCTTTTGATTTAGCTTTCACATAAGAATTAACTATCATTTCGTACATATACGAAATGAATGTTTATTTTACGTAACGATTTTAAAGTATCATTGTGAATCCAAACTTGAGTTGTGGTTGTGGATACAACCAAATATGAGTTTGTTGTCTCAAAGGTCGGATTTATAGAGTTAATGTTGAAAAGTTATTAAAAATAACGGAAGAATAATACATCCTCTCACTCATTTCTTATTGAATGGAGGAATGGAGCATTTACAAAAAGAAAATTGGAACGGAGTTATTCATAAAAAAATGGAATGGAGTTGAAGTTGCACTTTAAGCTTAGTGATTACAATATCACAAATCTCATAGCTGAATTAACAATTTCGAAGATAATCAATTATCTCCAACAACATTTGTGACCTTAACTAGGTAAATTCTTTTGTCATGAAAATAATAATTCATATATGGTTATGTTTTATTTTTTAATTTGCTTACTAGAAAACGTAAAAAAAATAAATGTTTGTTGATGATGTAGATAGTGCGGTTGATGATGGAGATTCTTGATGATAAAGAAGTGATACCATTCATCTTCGAATACATATAATAGTGTCATTAAGTTCATTACGAATTGATATCCCCTTGCATGAGTCCTATCATTTTAATTTCAACCAGAATATGCACAAAACGCTGATTACAATGTAGTGATATGTATGTTGGATGCTCATTTTCTATTTTCTTGGAAATTGAATAATTTGACTTTCTTAATGGTAAAAACTAAGAAACTACGTACCTTGCTGTGCTGTAAAATTGATATCATTATTTGTTAATTTGTATGACATATTGTCATTATAATCGTGGAACCAATATAACTATACAAGACAAAAGAAAGATTACTGAAATTAAAACTAGAAACATTCGTTAGTTAATTACTGTTATCATATTGCAAAATGAATAAATATCACTATTTGTTAATTCCCATGAAATTTACATATAATTATGGCACAAATTTAAGAGAAGAGCATACATTTAAATTTGAAACCTTTTGTTAATTACTTTGCTTGGGCCGGTACAATCTAGTAACGTAAAATTTTATATCATTTTGTTTTTCAGTTTCCCACAAGGCCACAACCCATTTTTCTTTCTCATCTCTTCATACATGGAAATGGAAGATGCAGAAGCAACTCGGAGCAAGAACCCAATTCATTCGCCAGCTCACGCACACCTCTTTTATCCAAATCCCACATCCCATCGTACCATGTCCCTCCCTCTGCCCCACTAACTTCCCAGTCGTCCGATCTTATCCCAATCCAACGCACCACATCCCTCCACGATTCTCCCTTCCCGATCCTTCGATCCAACTACCCCGTCATGGCTCACAACCCTCCACGATCCCACCATACCTGCCGTCCGATGGCTCAGAGATCCGACGGCCGAAAATACCTCTCCAATCACAGCACATTTCTTTTCTTTTTCTGCAATTTTTTTTTTCATTTCTGGGTTGGGTCTGTGACTCTGTTTAGTACCTGTTAGCTCCATACAGTTCTCCCCTTTTCCTCAATTGCTCCATACAGTTCCTTTAGCTCCCGCCTCCATTTTCGGTGTTTTACTTGTTTTCTAGCTTCGGTAGTAGAGGACATCGCAGCAACAAAATGCAAGAACAAGCCACCAGTTCGGCTGCAGCCAATTCTCTGCCTTCAAGTAGCGAGAGATCTTCCAGCTCTGCCCTTCAGCTTGAGGTCAAGGAAGGTCTGATCTCTGTCATTATCCCTTTCCCCAACTAAAAAAAAAAAAAAAGAACAAAAAGTCTAGTTTTCTCTCTCTCTGGATTATGGGTTTCTGGAGTAAAGTTTCGGAATTCCCACCTGGGAATCGTGCAATGTGCGATTTTGACTGATGGGTTGTCTTGGGTTTTCAATTTCGCGTAGGAATGGAGAGTGACGAGGAGATCAGGAGAGTGCCGGAGTTAGGTGCGGAGCCGGCGGGGGCGTCCGGGTCGGGTCGGAGCGCGGCGGTGATGTCCGGCCAGGAGCGAGCTCATCAAGGTCCGGGAGAAGTGTCGAGGAAGCGAGGGAGAAGCCCAGCGGAGAAAGAGAACAAGCGACTCAAACGGTACTCTATTGAAATTTGTTTGAGTTGTTTCTTGGCTGATTTTACTAATGGAGTCTTATCGGATAATGGATAATGCTGATGATGACCTTTTTCTTCACTTTTGCAGGTTGTTGAGGAACAGAGTATCTGCGCAGCAAGCCAGGGAGAGGAAGAAAGCTTATCTTAGCGAGCTGGAGACGAGGGTTAAGGACTTGGAGAAGAAGAATTCGGAGCTCGAAGAGCGGCTCTCCACTTTGCAGAATGAGAACCAGATGCTTAGACATGTAAGTTGCCTTCCACCCTTTGCATCTCTTTCTCTAGCTCTTCTCCAAACCGTTCTGGAAAATCAAACTGATGATAATAAGGGATCTGGTTTCACGAGCTTCAATCGATACAGATGTACTGGTTTGATCACTGATACGTGTTTTAACCGGGATTTTACTATCTATCAAATCATAGTGTCAACGATCTTTATCGTTATTGTTAATTACAAAAATGGAGTTAATCACCCATCAGAACTGGATAGTGTTTTGGACTATCAAGCTTAATGAACAAGGTGGTGATACGTTCTTTTAGCTTGAGAACAAAAAATGTGTATGTAATGTAAGCAAAAGCGTATAGGTCTTGTCAATTCCAAATGGGACCAGGATTAGTTGATCGTCTTTTCTATTTAGGTCGTGACCCTACAACAATAAGGACTCATTACATTGATCAATCTAAAACAAGTATTCACCGGCTAGTTGGTATGGTAGGGCAGATAAAATAATTCATTTGAGCATTCACTTTCTGTTGATGGTAAAGGTTTTCTTTAGGGTTTATTGATACTGAGACGAACCAAGCTCGTGTTTTTTGTGGCAGATACTGAAGAACACAACGGCAAGCAGGAGAGGAGGTAACAGTGCTGCGGATTGATCTGCTCAATGAGTTGAGAATCTACAGTCCCTTAATATATAAAGCATCCCGATTTGGTTTGCATGGAGAAGAGGAAATGTAAGGAAGCACATAGGCATCTGTGTTCCGATTCTGGTTGTGTGTATGTAGAGGTATTGAGTATTGACTAGTAAGGTTGAGTTGCTTGGTGAAAGTTAGAGGAATATTGGGTGGTCACCGGAGGGTCGAGCTAGCGATAAGTTCGGCTTAGACTTGATACATCGATCGAGTGGCAGTATTTGCCTGCATCACCTTTTGCAGCATGCCAGCCCATGTGTTCTTACTCATATGCAACTGTCGCCATTCTTGCTGCGCCTAACTCATATAAATGAAGAGAGAGTAGAATGTATTGTTCGCGAGGTGGTTCGTGTTCGATTGCTGTTGTGTAGCTCATTCCCATATGGGAGTGTGGTGGTATTGCTGTGGAAATGACAATGGGTGTGTGGCTCTCTTTTTCTTTCGATTGTCTCTACTCACAGCCCTATCTAATCGATAGAACGGAGAGAGAGCGAGAAAGGTTATACAATATGCTCGACCGTAAGGAAGAGGAGATGATGAGCTCGAAGAACGAGCAGAGCCGTGCAAGTATCTACTCGCATAGGAGAGCGTTCTGAAACGAGATTCTTGCTGGACTACGAATTATTCAATGATATGGTCACTGCTCACTGGTCCAAAGAGGATAGATCAATGTATTGTAATCTTCCACAAATCTTTTGATCAATAACCGTGAGAGGGTGGGTTTGGCAGGCGTCAATGACCTCTATTCTGACTCCGAATGACAAAATAGTGGGCCCGAGAATGAGCTCCAGGGTGCAAACCAAGCGGGCCTGATGATCTGTAAGCTGGGTGGGCCGGTGCCAAGATCATACTCAATATTGGGCCTGAGATTGAGGGCCTTTGAGGCAACTCCCGAACGAAAACGACATATTCAGAAGCCCAAAACCTTTCCGGAAACAAGAAGTGGAATAGGCAGAGAGAGGGATTTTGGGTCTCTTCGATCAGAGAGAGGGATTTAAGGGTTTTACTTGTTTGTGCTTTGCTAGTTGCTACACACTTTCTCCCGAGCTTCTCGCAGGGTTTTCATTTTAGGGTTCGGCAGAGACTGAAAAGTTTGAACATAGTTGTCAGAGGTCCAGCAATGGAGGTGATTACGGAAGGAGTGAGTAACTTGGCCGTCGCTGATTCAGCTGCTCCAGGATACCAGAGGAACAGAATCCAAGTTTCCAACACCAAAAAGCCTCTCTTTTTCTACGTCAATCTCGCCAAGGTTCCCTCTCTCTCTCTCTCTCTCTCTGGTCTCAGTTCTCTTTAGTTTGAACGAGTTGCTCTGGGGTTTGGGAGGGTTTTGCTTTCTAGCTGGGTTGTTTGTTTCCCGGGAAAGTTGCGGGCAGGGAAAAGTAAGAGCTTATGTTTTGTGAGTTCTGTTGTTAATACCCTGACCATTTATGGGATAGTGTGAATTATTAAAGTTTAATGGCTTCACCTTCTTACGAATTAGGAAAGGAATGACTGGAATGATTGTGTCGTGATTTTGTTTGAGTTTTGTTGCAGAGGTATATGCAGCAGTTCAATGAAGTGGAGCTTTCCGCTCTAGGGATGGGTATGTCTCTCTATTCCCCATTTCCATGGTCATGGTGCTTTTTTTATTTGCTCATTTATGGACTTTGTTCTTTGATTTGCTGCTAGTCGCCTAATGATTTGACAGCCACTTTCCCATCATTTGATTATTTATGCAGCTATTGCCACCGTTGTTACTGTTGCCGAGATCTTGAAGAATAATGGCTTTGCAATTGAGAAGCGTACGTTTTTCTGAGCTACCATTCCTTGGTTAATTTTCAGTTGCTCTAGTTCTGGAATTTTAAATTCCCCAAAGTGTAGCAATGTTGACACAAGTTTGCAGGAATCACGACTTCGACTATTGACATGAGGGAGGATGCTGCAGCTCGTCCGATTCCAAAACCAAAGGTAATCTAGAAACTTTTCCAGACCCTTTTATCGAATGTTGGCTGAATATATAAGAATTTGTGTGAAACAGAACTTAAAGCCCATGTTAGATCTTCCTTGTTGTTGTTGAGTTTGGGAATGGAAATGCCATTGCTAGAAGTTTTATCTAAAACCGGAGCTGTAAATGCTGCTCTTATTGTTTCCCTTAAGAGGAGGATTATAATGCAGACTCTAATTCTGCTTGCCAATCTTTTTGGTTCTAGTATTAGATTTAGCAAATAGTTCGAGTTTCTAATGGGTTTATGTCGTTATCATTGTAGATTGAAATCATGCTGGGAAAGTCGGAGAAGTTTGATGAGTTGATTGCTGCTGCTAAGGAAGAAGAAGAAGATGAAGAAGAGAACCTTGAGGAGAGCTCAGCTTAGTCGAAATAAATCTGTCAAACTTCCTCTGCTTACTTGTGGATGATGCTTCGACTCTTTGTACCAGTTGCTAAGACAAAGTTCAATTCCGCGAGATAGTACTTTATCTTGTAGAAACATTCTGCTAATGCTATGCAAATGTTGTTAAAATATCCCAACCGAAGCTATTCAAAACAACAATTTCTCTTTGATTCTCTCAAACAAAAGGTAGCTAACACAAAATGATCATATGCTTGCTATTTCTAACATTCCAAAAAGAAAAAGAAAAAACTAACTGAACTAAACCCTGAAAACAAATCCTTCTCAGGCAGAGGGAGGACAAGAACAAAACTGTATGTGAGAATAAAGAAAATCAAAATAAAAATGATGTATCTCAACTCTTCCTAGGCTTCTTGGTCTTCCTCCACAAGAATCCGCTTGCAAGCCTCATAACACATGAACGATATCCCAGCAGCCGGGACAAGCTTCATGCAGCTTGGCCCTAGCCCTTTGTACAGACCCTTAACCCCTTCTTTCTCAAGTATGCTTGCTAGGGCATGAAGCACATCCCTGTACACTTGCCTCCCACTTAGGGCTCCCACCTGCATATGCTTGCGAGCCACCTCAAGAGGGAAAGTGGCGCTGCTTGATATAGCACCAGCTGCTGATCCAATCAACAGGGTCTCGATGTTGCCAATCTTCTCTTGCTTTGCAAGCTTCCTGTATGCCTTCCGAAGAGTGTCATAAGCAAAGTAATTTGTTGCCGCGTAAGGGACGACTCCAATGAGGCTTGGAGCTAGGCCTCGGTAGAGCTCGCCAGGGCCTTCTTCGCTCAGTATTTTCATGAATGCATCTACTATGCCTTTGTATACACCTCTCTGCAAGCATACCATGATGTAACTCATGCCCTTTGAATAAATTACTAGCAAAGGGAACATATCTTTTAAGCCATGAATGCGTTTGTCAATACCTGTATGGTTAGTCGAGTCTTGACCAACTCCAGAGGATAAGTGCATAGAGTTGAGGTCACTCCAGCGCATGCTCCGGCAACCAACGAGGATGGAATTGGAAGCTTAGGCTGCTCTCCTGGTGCAGGAGATAGCTTCTTATTGACCGTATCATATGCAAATAACTGCATCAACAGGCAGAGAATTCAATGCAAACTATTTTGCAAATACATATTTGCAACAGTAGGGGAAAGTGTAAGATAACCTGCCCTCGGTAAAAGTTTGTGATGGATGAGAGAAGTGAAGAAATCTTTCTACTCTTCAGTAAAATGATTATATACAGAGAACACAATCGTGTCAGTTGGAGCGGCTAAGAATAAACTACTTTATCCCACCTGACAGCTTAAGAGCAAACTTAGTACAAGGAAGATGTCATTTTAGCTTAGAACCGTTGGTTTTTAGTCCAGAGGCAATGCTGCAGGACATGAAGTCCAGAATCTGTTCTGACTAAATCCTGATACTGAGTACCTCCATCAACCAGAAAGGGCTCCCTAGGGATTCGGATATGCCATGCTTAAGTGAGAGGTAATGGAGTCATGTAAGAGAAAACAACAGAATATAGTGCACATACAAACATCTCAGACCATGAATCCTGAACTATTTCCGCCAAACAATAAAATCACTGTATATGTGAACATAAGCTGATAGCTCGACTTCAACCACACAGGAGAGAAAACAAGTTAAAGAAAGCACCGAGCTTTCGTATCCACAAGAGCCTCTAATGAAAATCCATATGCATTGCCAAATAGGTGGATAACGAGGGTTCTAACTTGCTAACATATTGTTCTATTCTATCAGTAATATCCATCTGTACGCCAATTGATACCAATTGCCAATCATAAACACTAAAAGGAAGATCTAAACAGCATCACAATACTTACTTCAATCGCCTTGCTTGGTGCAACACGAATCACATTAACCAAGTTTCCCCTGAACAACCCAGTCCAGCCATCATGTTGCATTATATTCTGGAACACCTCAGTGCTCGTGTGCCCACTGCTCCCAACCATCAAATGAGTTCTTATAGTCTCCAAAGGAGCAACAGCTGTTCTAGACACAGCCCCAGCAATTCCACCGCTGATCAACCTTCGCAGTGAAGGATTCCTCACCTTAATCTTCAATTGACGCCATCCTTTCCTCTTCTTCTTCTTCCCCATCTCTCCTTCCTCCTCATCTAACCCCACAAATGACAAATACTTCTCATATAAATCATTATAAACAGATTTCATACCTCCACCACCATTCCCGTTGGACCCCGTCCCCATCTGATTGACGGTCGCGAAAAGCCCGCCGGCGCCGGGGAAGCACTGAATGACATCGTCATCCTGGTTCCAAGGAGAAGAACCCAAACCGGACATTGCAAGAAAGCCGCCGCCTTTATCATCAAACAACTGAATCCCTCGCTTGCCCATGATTCAATTTCCCCTGCCTGATTACTGATGGCGATGGTGGTTGGTGACTATAAAGTTATGCTTGTGTTACTAAATGCCCAATCGAGCTCCCTGCCCCATGGTTTTCAATCAGAATTGGAGAGCCCGGCGGGGGAAAGAACACGTTTTGGCGAAATGGGGATGGAGGAGATTCATTGATGAGAAATGGGCGAGGGAGAGAATTGAGAAAAAAGCAAAGGTTTTTGGAGGTGGAGTGAAGAAAATCCAATACAAGAAAGAGAAAGACGGCGAAAACGAGACAGGGGGAAAGTGATGGAGGTTGTGAGGGTTAGGTGAAGGAAGGCTATGAATGAATTCTGGTGATGGCTTGTTAAGCGAAGGAGTGGTTTTAGGTTTTGCGGTTCCACTTGCCACTTAACAAGTGAAGGAGAAGGGACACTGGCTCTTCAGTTCAAGGACTCTGCTGTGTGCTCAAAAGGTCAAATTCAACCTGAAAGAATATTGGTTGTTTTTCTTTTTGTTGACCAAATCATGATTTCATTTGGGGACCAAGGAAGGTGGGCTGGATTAACCAAGCAAGCCCAATAAATATTTGCAAAGGGGTGGCCCAATAAGAGAAGAAGAGTGGTAATTAACATGGACTCGCTCATTGTTGCTCATTAACACTTCCTCTGAACATGAGGTCAGAGATTCTTTGGCTGCTCCTAGGAATGATGAATCCATTGATCAGCAGTTCATGGCTTTGTTTGTGCAACCATTTATGATGACGGACCAATTACTTTTTCCTCTGGTAGAAACCCTGGAAATAGATAACACGTTCCTCTTTCATGAACAAACCACGAAACTGATTACAATTTTCATGTACTATAATAATTAATATCGTAATTTGCTATTGAAAGATTCGTGATATAGTTTAATTAGTTTTGCCTCAATCTAGACTCGATGAAAAAGTCTCATCAAACGGTTGGGGGTTGTAGCTATCTTGTTGGTTCAGAAACACGGAATTTGGTGAAATTATCAAGTGGGTAATGAAAATTGTATCACCTATCAACATTCACATTTTTTTTATCTCATAGATACTAAGCTGCAGATAATCGCATATAATCACCCAATGATACTTTTCTTAAGTACAAGACTTTATTTTCAACTTATTTAACTCAATTAATCTACCTATTATTATCTCTATTTTTCATTTATGAACAATTTTACCTTCATTTTTATCGTTAAAAATATAACGAATGATGTTGTTAATTAGAATTTGCAAACATGCGGTTGTTTGTCAGCCTTGGATTAAACGTGCGGATGCCTTAAATCAGCATGGTGGAAAGCTAAACTTTTAATACGTTCGTTCCTCTCCATGGATGAGCATAAAGCCATAAACCACCATTAGTGGGTGGCTTTTAACAACTTTAACTTCAACGTTAATGCGTATAAGCGTAATAAGATAAAACCCCGCACACAAGATCATACCACTAATTCTAGAGCTAACTTCCCATTAACGAAAAAGCAACAGCAAAGCTAATCAAGAAAAAAGACGTGTGCAAATTTGCAAACCAGTCTTAATTTGTTTTGCCTATAAATACACGCCGTAACCGGCAATACGTTGTTTCAAAACAAACCCACCATTATTGATGCCTAAATGAAACGTATCATATAAGCACATACGTTTAATTTATCTGCGTTAACATTATCTGTCTATCGAATCCCATCTCCCTACCAAAGAACCTACAATGGCGTCGTATGTTGCTAATGACAACATCGTACGAGGAATCGCAATGTTCCTGTGTTTGGGTTGCGTAGCAATGTCCAACCTTGCTAACTTGGTCGCGGCGGACTTCGGCACCGCCACCTCTTACAACCCTCCTTATCTACGTGAGTGATCGTCATATCTTTCTTCTCTTTACGTTTTTTTTTTTTCCGTGGTAGAGCTACGTGTAGTTCAGTAAGAGGAGTCCCAGAAATTATAATTTTAGGTTATAACGTACATATTCTCAAGGAAAAATTTACGTTCAATCGTCGAAAATGGTTGCAATTTGTTATCTTCATATCGCGGTATCGATCGACGGGTGACTAATGCACGTTAAGGTGGTCGTACGTTACGGTTTTGGCAGCGACGAGGTGCAACGGCGGGAGGCAGGACCAGTTTCCGGCGGGGAACATGTTCGTGGCGGTGGGGGAAGGGCTGTGGGACAACGGGGCGGCGTGCGGCCGGCGGTACAGGATGCGGTGCCTCAGCGGAGCCAACCGGCCGTGCAAAGAAGGCACCATGATCGACGTCAAGGTGGTGGATTACTGCCCAAAATCGCCTTGCCCTGCCACCTTTTTGCTCTCCAATGACGCCTTCAACGCCATCTCCCACCACCCAAACGCCAAGATCAACATCGAATATGCTCAGTATGTGTTTTATCTACTTATCTTTTTTTCAATATCTCGGCCGGCAATGTACGACTGCGTAATTTTGACGAATGATACTTGTGTAGGACATGATGATGATGATGATGTGGCGATATCGACGGGAGCGGTCACGTTAAAAAGAGGAGATGGAACGTATAGGATGATTGTAAATTGTTTTGATGCTAGCTCGAAGAAGAATGAGCATCAAGAGATGATTGTTGTGGTTTAGGTTAGATCAATGGTGGACTTTGTAATACACGATAGAATAGAATAGAATAAGAAATCAGCCGATTGGAAATCCAACTTCTTGGTTCCAATAAAATTGGCATTCGCTATCATAACCATATACATGCTTAACAAGATATTTGATGAGGAATTTTATAATGCTACGTGTACTATCATTTCATGTAGAAGGTAAATTTATGTAATAACGTTGAATGTACAAGTTTTGGTTTTATAGCATAAAGAAATTTGTATGAAAATGTATAGATACAAACTGAATTAGTTTCATGAAATTGAGTTACATGTTTAGTTTGTACCATAAACAAATTTTCTAAAACTGAATTTGTAACATAAGATTGAGGATACAAATTTAATTTGTACCATAAAAAATATATTTAAATAAAAGCATCGGTATTTATGATTATAGTAGCATAACCGATCAACAGAAAACTGCATGAGTTGCCACCCGGCGATGAATACTATGCCCTGGTCAACGCCGGACTCTGCTCTCGATGAAATAAAAATACGTCCGGTCGAATGGCAATTAGCATGCCGAAATATGCGGCACCAACTTCTCCACTTACCCAGCTGCCGATCTAATCACATATTCAAACATCAGTCAACGACAATAATATACTAGCAACCTATGCTAGGCATTGGTTATATATATTGAGATTAACACACTTAATCAAAGGAAATTAGGAATACATTAAACCCGTACGAATTTGGTTACCGTTAATGTGGAGGTTAGAACATTTGTCATACTCAAGGTTCAAATCTTAATATCAACAAGTAAAGAAAAAAAAATTAGGAATACATTCCTCGTGCTATGCACAAACCCAAAAAGTACTAATGCATGGTATACCAACTTATCATGGTCGTCGAGTTAAATTAGAATGACAGTAATTCAAGTGATGTTATACTTTTCATGAACGATGTGTTTTACATTTATTGGACCATGATAGCATCCAGTAAAACATCAATATGTTTATCAGCGTGGCTGCCGGTATGGTAATTGCATGCATCACCGCCTCACTACTACCGATCTCCGGCCACCAAATCGAGTGCGTATCCAAATGAGACGCCGGCCATGCGGTCAACCACAAAGTGCAAAACCCAGATGCGGCTAATAATTATGCGCCGCCGGCGTGCATATATTACCAAAACCAGGTCAACGACTAATGTCAAATTAAAGTTGGGAAGCTTAAGTACAAAGCATAGGAGCCTTATCTATGATGATATGCTTAGTTGCTTATATCCATTTCTCCACTTAACACTAAAGATAGCGGCTGAGCCGCCGCTGATTTGGCATTACTCAACATAATGATCTACTTACCAACTTATCATAGACAAGTTCAAAAAGGGATTTTATGGTGGATTCGAAAAGCCTTCACTTAGCTAGTGCACATGATCTCTATAACAGCATATTTGGTGGAAATATTCAATTCCATTACCAAACAAGGGTACCTAGCTAGTTTGAACTTTGAAGTACATGATTTCACCTTGATGATGAAATTTATTGACAATAACTGAAGGGGAAGAAAAGAGGAATCTTCATCTTGATCAATGAGTTTATGAATATGATGATATCACTTATTCACTTGGCTGTCAGCTATACCTGTTGTTCTGTAGAGTATGTCCCATGTTTTGGCCATATTGGCTGATCCCTTAAGTTTATCTTACAACAAATCGAATAAATGGATGCCTCCATAAGCTGTATTAGCTGCTATGTAGTAGAGGAGCTACAACAGAATGAATTTACCAGTCGGTCATGGAGAAACTTGAGATCGTAAAGTGCCAGAACTTGGACTAGATCTGTGAGCAACATGACCCTGGAGCTGGAAGTAAGGGTGGATTGCCCTTACTCCTTCCAGGTATAAAGGCGTCTGCATCTCAATTAGGCGAGAAACCTACAAAAAACAATACAGCCTTTCAGTTGAAATGTGATGAAAAGCTTTCCATAAATGGGATTCGTAAGTCAAACCAGCCTTGAGCTACCCGATTCTAAGTACTGGCAAAAGACTCTTTCTTGACTAAGAAGTAAGAAGCAGACAGAGGAAAAATATATATTGGGGTCTGGGGGAACTACTTACGGCTCTACGGAAAGCAAAGCCTTCTTCATGACCGGATAGCATGGAAATGATTCCAGTTGGTGCACCTGCAGAGCTCACTTTCCCCTCGGCTAAAACATCTCTACGAAGTTTGCTACCTTCTATCTCTGTTTCAAATTGAAAACTGGATGCAAAACAACGTAAGTATTGACACAAGATCGTGCATCATATGATGGACAGTAAGTAAAGACCGTCTTTCAGGCTAGCCTAATAAAGAAGAGACTGTTACCTCTCCAGATCAAAAAGGGTACCCTCTTCAGTTCCTTGGAACAAGTCATCTATAGCAGATGCGGCATGACACACCATACAGCAATGATGGTTGTATAACTCATCTACCAGGGTGATAAATCTACGTGCCTGGAAAATCACAGCATAAGTTCATTAACGGTGTGCGTTAAGAAGTTTCAACATACACTGTAATGTTCCGCATCCTGCTGTTTGATTGATAATGTCCCAGAAACGTTCCTATAATTTTACCACCAAACAACCTCCTGAGATATTGAGAGGAAATAATGATAGTACGTTCCTTGACTCCTGGTAATGGTTACCTTGTCACGGATTCTCATACTCATCACTGGGATATCTGAGATGAAAACAGTATGATAATGCTTTGCTACGGCGATATAATCTGCTGCGCCCAACTGAAAATATTCACAATATGGTAAGTCACACAAGAAGAGGAGGAAAACAGTGATGAGCTTTTAGCAATAACGATCAAAGCCTCAAAATTCAAAACAAAAGAAGCATTATATAGCCTGAATATCTTGTTTCCCTGAAAGGTATATGAAACATGATTAACTTCAGTTTCTACAAATCAAGAATTTTAGAGACCAACACTACAGATCTCAACTGATTAGCCTTAGGCTGGCAGAGGAATTTTGCAGGAAAGTGTATTTCAGTCTCAAATGCCATCTGTTGTGATTATTGAACTTCCCTTTATAAGATTTTCAGTTTTAAAGGAAACGAAAAAAAAAAAAGGTTACAAGGGTTTAGAGTTGTAGGAGTAAGTACCGGCCGACCACATAGATACTCAAATGAGAACCTTGCAACTCCTTTGCAGCTTTCAGGGACATCCAGTTTTCTGTATTCAGAGTGAATGTGAGTATTCAAATGAGGTATGAAGCAATTATGTGGAATGGAGGTTTTGGAACATAAGAAGTACCTTCCAAACATAACAGGGATGGTTTCAGAGGTTATTCGACCGCCCAGTTGGTTGGTCAGCTGACACCACACTTTTTCATACTCATTCACAACATTGCTTTCCAGAGGCCAGAAATAGCGGACCTGCATACATGTGCTAATATAACTTCAACACTAAGAATTCCCCCCTGAACATTTCTTGTTTCATTAACTGAACAAGGACTTTAAGGTTGAATTCTAAGCCATCATAATGAAGACCAAAGTTCACAAGAGCTATAGTAAACACATCTTTTAAGAATGGCCATCTAAAAGCAGGAAAGAAGACTCCATAAATTTCAGTTACTCCAAGCAGAGCATATCGAACGTCAAAGCAAAAACCGGAAGTTGCACACTAAACTTTCAATAGTTACAAGTCAGAAATCATTTTTATAAGAGTACCTTGACTTCCAAAGAAACGACCTATATTATAACATCACCTGATGCTCACATCTCTGGGCTGCAAAACGGCGGTAATCAATCTCACTTCCAATCAATACTATCTCACAATGCTCTTCAATTTTTGAAAGTAATTTCTGGAAAATTTCCTTTTGCATGCCATCCTATGAATGCAATAAAAGCATATCACTGTTAGAAATAGCCGAGTGGCATTTGACGTGCTTATGAACAGTGAAGATTGGAGGCACGTATTAAAGGCAAAAGCTAGAGGAGATCCTTCACGACTTCATCACTTCTTAATGAAATATACATACAACCCCATTCAATAATAAATTCATATGGAAGAGGAAAAAACACCTGATTTAAATCCTTTGGCGCTCGATTACTGGTAGCAACAAGAACAGTCCCTGAAGCTAACAATCTTCCCAGAATTCCAGATAAGGCCACAATAGCGAATACATCAACTGTCTGTCACACAACAATAGGAAGCGTAAGTCAAGCGAATTGCATTGGGTATCAGCTTCAAGTACCGAAGGAATTCAACCCACAACTACCCACAGTAGAGTAGCCTTGAACTAAGATCGTAGAAGCTAAACTAACAAATCGGAATGAATGGTCATATAAAGATATCACAAGAGGAGTGCTCTTTCATCTACCTGTATCTCATCAAAGCAAAGAACACTAGCCCCTCTTTGACCTGTTTGCTGGTCTATAAGGAACTTGTCCGCTACAGCAGGAAGAATGTGTTTCATATGCAACTCTCGATTATATTTTTCTTCTGCAGCTAACCACTCCTTAACTTTCATATCAAAGGGAAGATTCATAATCCAACTAGATATGCTTGAGTGGAAAGGTTTCTCCTCCACTTGATTCTTCCATATATTATGCATATGCTCATTTATATTCAGCATTGCCTGCAGAGAACAATCACTCCTTTATCAGATTGGCAGTCCCTCACTGACAAGAAGAACTACACCTGTATGCACAACTAACATTAGGTAAGATGCGACAATAAAGCAAATGTTTTTCCAGAACAATGTAACAATCGCCACCTCATGAAAGTGAAATCTTCTCCGATGTTTGACTAGTCCTACTGTGGCACCATAAAACATATCCATCAGCATTGTCTTCCCTGCAGTATCCAAAGCAATTCCTTCAGTCTGAGGAGCCGCAAGTGGAAAGAATATATGAATCAAGGAAAAAGTCTGGACATAAAACTTTCTAGCAATTGAAAATCCCAAGTGATCAACTTTCTAGCATGTAAGAACTAAGGGGGCACAGGACTGTTTATTGTATACCTTACAATCTCATTAATACAAAAGGAAGCATAATTCAAAATTTGTCATCCCAATCTCATAAAAACAGTCTTACAGTTCTACATCAGTAAGTTAACAACATACCACTTCCAACATTCCCATATATATACAGTCCTTTTGGTGCTGC